TAGTCTCCAAGAACAATTTCTAAAATTACCATCTTCTGATATAATTTGACAGGGTACTTGTATGGTCTGGTAATGCCAAAACCTCCACTAGTGTAAACAATATTGTTTAACTGCTATCATGCGTAACCCAAACCCACTTACTGACAGCAGGCTACCTTACTTATTCTTTCACTGTCCCATTTATCATGCTAAGCAGTTGTTCTGATGAAGATTCGGTATCCTGGAATATGTCACTCTGTTGAATGCCTTGTTTATGAAAATCATTGATCCTGATTCTTAAATAGTTTCTATTTCCATTTTTCAATCTTACCTTTATTTTAACTTTTACTATATACTTTGGCATTAATCAATGTAGGCTTTGGGAACAAAAATCTATGATGCATCCAACTGGATAAAATACTTCAGAGACCAACAGCAACTCATGAATAATGCCTTCTCTACAAAGCCTTCACCAGAAAAATGTTATCTGCAAGCAAATAAGGATGACTCTATTTATGCATAGCTTGCATGTCTATATTAAGTAGCATATGACTGTGTTGTGGTAGATTTCACAGGACTATAAAACACATAATTTGTGTCCTTCAGGCAGTTTTCATAACAGGAGTCTTTTAATGCCTTTGCTACTTTAAATGGGAATTAGTAAAGGTATTATGCTATCATCACTCATTCAGTATCAGAAGTTTATGTTAAAATTGATTAAGGGATTACTTACCTTAAATACTGTTGACTTACTTGTCCCCTACACCCACACATACAATCTAACACATCTACATACAGCTGCCATGTTAACAACCTGAGGATTCATTTTGTCAAACAAGTGGGAAAGAGAAGGTAAAATCTAGTGTGACATGAGCTTTTAAGGAGGCTAGTTACTTATCAACAATTTTACATGCTAATTAACCTGCAGACACACCAATTTTAGAATTGTTTTTCTAAATCTTTATATTAAAGTTTAACTCCATTTATAAATCTATAAATCCTTAAGGGGTTGGGTAGGTATCAGTTCCTTCTATTTTCCAGGTGTTCATGGGCAATTTCAAGATCTTGATGTTCTCCATTATTTGTTATTGTTAGTTGCAAAGTCGTGTGTTCAACCCATCCAACCCCATGGACAACGTTCCTCCAGGCCTTCCTGTCCTCTACCATCTTCTGGAGTCCATTTAAGTTCACGCCTACTGCTTCAGTGACTCCATCCAGCACCTCATTCTCTGTCATCCCCTTCTTCTATTGCCCTCAATCTTTCCCAGCATTAGGCCCTTCTCCAGTGAGTCCTTCCTTCTCATTAGGTGGTCAAAGTACTTAAGTTTCAACTTCAGGATCTGGCCTTCTAAAGAGCAGTCGGGGTTGATCTCTTCTAGGACTGACCGGTTTGAACACCTTGCAGTCCAAGGGACTCCCAAAGGTGCTTTTCCAAAAGGCAACTGGACTTTTTTCTTTGAAAATGTTTCGTTTCTCATCCAAGAAGCTTCTTCAGTTCTAACTTTCCTTTTTTTTTAAGGAAAAAAGCAAGAAAGGCCATTTGCCTTTTGGAAAAGCACCTTTGGGACAACCAATGATTGAGAATCTCCATAGACATTAATATGATGGGGTTTTTTTAAAGCCCAGACAGTATTTTAAGTAGGATATATGGGCTTCTTGGTGCTCTCTGAGCTTGTGGTCTTCTTGCAGACATTTCATTACTAAATGTTTTGGTAGTGAAACTTCTGCAAGAAATCAACCAAGCTCAGAGAGCACCAAAAACCCCACAGTGCATCCCTGAGCTACAAATATTCTCTTCTATTGGTAAGTAGAATATAATAGAAAATCCTCTGGCAACTGTTTCAACAGAAGATTAGCGGTTTCTGAAAGAGAATTAGTTTGGTGCAGTGGTTATAGGAAACACTGGGCTGGAAATCAGGACACCGTGAACTCACCTGGGAGAAGCTGGTCCAGTGACTCTCCTAGCCCTAGGAAGAATACAATGGCAAACAACTGCTGAAGGTTCTGGTTCCCCGACTGCCAGAATTCATGGTTGACTCAAACACACACAAACACACAGAGTAAAGAACATTGACAAAGAAAGATGCTTGCCAAGGAAGCTGTAGCTCTTAATCTTTTTTGCAGAAAAACCCAAGAGGCACGGAGCCTGTTTAGCCTGGAGAAGAGAAGCTTGCAAGAAACAAGATCGTTGTCTTCAAGTATCTGAAAGGCTGTCATGTAAAAGACAAGGTAGAATTGTTCAAAGTTGTTCCAGAAGACAGAGCAAGGAAAAATGGGTTTAAATTATAAGGAAATCAATTTTGGCAGGGATTCAGAAAAAAGCTGTTCAGTAATGGAAAGATTTTCAGTGAGTGCTGGATTCTTCTTCACTGGAGGTATTGAAGCAGAGGCTAGATGGCATCTATTAAGCATACTGCGCTAGAGGGCTCACCACTGGTCAGGAGGCTGGATTAGGAGACCTCCGAGAACATTTCCATTCTCCGCATTGTAAGACAGCATAATTGGCCAGGGCCATGTATTGTATAAGCATCAAAGAGTGAAACATCCAGTTGACATATATTTAAAATGATTGCAGCATCCCACTGTCCTGTGATCACCATTTGTGATTTGCTGAGCTGTCTTCTCTACAAGCAAACTTCACTTAAAAGCTGTAGTGAATCACTTAACAATCAGCACAAATTAGGTTGCAAAATCAGGTGCAACTTGCTTAACACCTGTCTCGCTTAGCACCAGAAATTCTGGTCCCAATTGTGGCTATAAGTCAAGACTACTTGTACAGAAGACATGAAACATTTGCAATATCGTCTTTGAAAGAACAAAATTTCCTTGTTTTGGAGCCAATCGCTTCCCCTTCATTGACAATGCTGCAATTTTCCATGTATACATCCAGGAAAAGGCCAAGAAAAAAATGATTATAAGTTGTTGCCCAAAGGGGAAATTCAAATAGAAATAGATTGTTTACCAGTGATGGCACCCCATTCAAGTAAATTGGTGCAGAATTAAGATTGTGCTTTGAATCTACACCAGTCATGGACTTCTTTCTTTACTTCAGTGAAGGAGGGATTCTTGTTCCCACAACACATTCCCAGACTTAAATGTTGAATTAAACTATACCACCTGTGAGGGAAGATATTCTTCAGAAAACTCAGAACTGGATTTTTTTTTTAAGGTTTATAAACTGGGATTAAGCAACACACAGTGACATTCCTTCCATCATCCTTCCATCATCCTAAACAGAAGCAGGATTCATACACAGAGCTAAGCATCAGCAGGTGCGTCAGGCGACAATTACACCAAAATGGCATTGTGACACCACTGAATAAATGGTGCCCTTAGCTAATCATTTCAGGATCTTCAATGCAAATACAGATAGTCCTCGACTTACAACAGTTCATTTCATCCAAAGCTACAAAGGCACTGAAAAAAGTGACTGATGACCGTTTTTCACACTCACAACCATTGCAGCATTCCCCCATAGTCATGTGAAGAAAATTCAGATGCTTGGCAACTGATTCACATTTATGACCATTGCAATGTCCCAAAGGGTCATGTGATCACCTTTTGTGATTTTGTGATAAGCAAAGTCAAGAGAAAAGCAGATTCACTTAACAACTGTGTTGCTAACTTAACAACTGCAGCGACTCGTTTAGTAACTGTGGCACGAAAGATTGTAAAACGGGGCAAATTTCACTTAACAACTGCTCATTTAGCAACAAAAATTTTGGAGTCAATTGTGGTTGTACGTTCAGGACTACCTGTACTTAAATTGCTGTACTGGCATGGTAATATGTCTTCATGCATATTTATTTATTTATTTATTTATTTATTTATTTATTTATTTATGAGATTTATGTCTTCATGCATATTTATTTATTTATTTATTTATTTATTTATTTATTTATTTATGAGACTTATATACCGCTTTAAGTGCAAGCACTCTCTAAGCGGTGTACACCAGTAAGCAATGTATATATATATTTACATTGCCCCCAACAATCTGGGTCCTCATTTTACCTACCCCGGAAGGATGGAAGGCTGAGTCAACCTTGAGCCGGTGAGATTTGAACCGCTGACCTGCTGAACACAGTCAGCTAAAGTGGCCTGCAGTACTGCACTCTAACTGCTGCGCCACCTCGGCTCCTTCAGCATAGGTTGCCATTTGCCCAGACCGTTATATGGACACCCATCACGCTAAGCCATTTTTAAACATCTTGTTGTGCACTAATCATAGCATCTGTTTCACAGATAATACTAAGCTTTGAGAGAATATCAGCCAAAATTATGATGATATGTTATGTGTATATCCTAGCCCTGCCATTGAAAATGGTAACTCATATACGGTGATCCAGCCATTACAGATGTATCAATCATGTCAGATTGGCAAGTGAATGTATATGTAAGAGCTGCCATTCATCCAGGGAACTGTGATTTGCACAAACCTCAAATAAAATTCTAGATATAAATTGAGATTTATAGTTCTACTTGGGAGAGGAGGAACTGCAGCCCAGTTAGGGATAGAAGAAGTGACAGTCAAGGAATAAAAGATCTTACATTAATTTAGAAGTTGTCCTGTCTACACTTAAATTATGCCATGCCTCAAACATGACAATATTGTGGGTTAATATTTACAGATAGACGCTCTTTTGTAATCCCTATGACTGTTGCATAGTATGATCCATATTGCTTTCCTTCTGGAGTTTTGAAATAATCTTAGTGTTACATCAAAGCACATATAAGACAAAAGTGTAAAAAAGATACTCTTAGACACAGATGATGTTTACCTAGTTTGGGTAATGAAACTCCTGCAAGAAAACAAGGAAGAGAGCTCAAAGGACCCCTCAGATACACTTATCCAATCTTCTCTCCATGCCTTCAATATACCTGAATTCCATAAAACAGCAACAGTAGAGCAGTAACCTTGAAAATAAATGTTGACAATCTATTCTTGCGATAATAAGCATTGAGCAAGTCAGATTTCAAAAGAATCTTGAAAGGTAACTGATGAGTCGATTGGGGTTTAGTCATATTTGCAATCTGGCACATTTTATACAGCTCTTATACAAGACAGGCTCCTTTCCTGAAAGAAAGAGAAACAACAGAGGTGAATTGCAAGATGGGGGGAAAGTGAAATATGTTCTCAAATGCTGCTTCTGCCCTCTATTGGTATGTTTTCCACAACTCTATATCCATATCTATAAATTTATTTATATTTCTCTTTTATTTTGGTCCTATACATCACTCAGGATAATTTAAACCATTTCAGTTCAATATAACATTTATATTTTTTTTTCTTTTAAAGATAAAGCTAAAAAAAACAACAACCCTGAAACACATAAATATCTAACAGAGGAAGGCAAGAGACCTTTTAATGCAGTCCCTAAGGTCCCTAAACACTTTACGATTTTAAAGGTAATTACAGGTAGTCCTTGACTTATGTCATAACTGAACCCAAATATCTGTAGCTAAGCAAGACAGTTGTTATGTGACTCCCCCCCCTTTTACAATCTTGTTTGCTACAGTTGTTAAGTGAATCATTGCAGTTGTTAAGTTAGTAACATGATTGTTAAGTGAATCTGGGTTCTCCAATTGAGTTTGCTTGTTGGAAGTTGGCTGGGAAGATGGTAAGGACACATGACCCTGGGCCACTGCAACTGTCATAAGTACATGCCAGTTGCCTGCCTGAATTTTGATCACGTGACTATGGAGATGCTGCAATGGTGGTTATCACTCCAAATGGTCACTAAACAAATGATTGTAAGTTGAGATACCTGTACCAATTCTTTAAGTCATGCCCAGAAACAAACATGTAGCCAGTGTAGCCCTTTCAAGTGGATCAGTGTCCATAGTAATGTCTCCAGTAGTGTTTCTCAAACTTGACAGCTTTAAGATGTGGTAACTTCAACTCACAGAATTCCACCCATCTTAAGTTTGTCAAGTTGGCAAAATCCTGATCTACAGGTATCCTTCCACCTCTTGTGATTTCATTCTAGGCCTCCTGCAATTTTGAAGAGCTTTTAAAGGCAGTCTCTGTTAGTGTGTTACAGTAACCCAACACAATTAATGATATAACTGATACCTGTGGCCCTGTAATAGATTGGTCTCAACGGGAATAGACCAAGGAGGGGAAGGGAAGGGAAGGGAAAGGAAGAGAAGGGAAGAGAAGAAAAGAGAAGAGAAGAGAAGAGAAGAGAAGAGAAGAGAAGAGAAGAGAAATGTAGCACCTCAAAGAGGCATGAAGGACATCAACAGGAATTCCAATTATCCCAAAATATGTTGAGCTCTGCCAATACTGATGTTCTCCTTCAAAAAGTAGGGGAAATTTTTATTTATTTATTTATTTTTAAATTAAATTGATGTATATGCCATATTAAAACAATAAGAAAAACTACATGAGCAAAGGATAAAAATGCAATATAAGAAAGTAGCTGTGGTTGACTTAATGACAGTGAATAGGGATTTGAATTTGAACAAGTAGAAATGTGACAGTGGGGGAACGTTGGGGATACTAAAACTGGATATGGTCAACCATGTGCCTTTGAGGGGTGGGGAAGGATTTTAAAAAACTCAGAGTAATGAAAAGTGTGATTCTATAGCACTGCTGAGAATTGCTATATGGAATATGGGAATAATGAGGAAAGAACCCAAGGTGCATGGGAATTCATAAAAACCACAGCTGGGTTTAGTTTTTTCAGCACAGGTAATATGGAAAACAAAAGAAGAATGTGATTTGTCTATTCCAAGTTAGAGCTCAGTGGGAATAAATTCCATAATCTAAGAAAGGTAAACCAGGTTCAGGGAAACTAGTATTTAGGAAATTGTAAAAATTAAAATAGCTCACTTCGCATATCAAAACCCTGTCCTAATGAAAACAAAAAAGAGAATAAAAAACCGCAGCAGACAAATTGTAAGGTAATAATATGGAATGGCAGAAAATAGAAGAAGATGAAGCACAGCAAGGCGCATGGACCCAGTTACAATGGAAAAGAGAGCATGATTGGAAGATCTGAAAGACCAGGGTAGGGACAGTCATCATGGAGAAAATCTATCTATGTCAGGGATGTCAAATTGCCAGCCCACAGACCGGATGCATCATGCGAGAACCACGCCCACCCCAGCTCCGGCAAGGGGAAAAAAGTCATGATACGTTTCGACACGTCACGTGATGCAGCGAGTTTGACACCCCTGATCTATGTGGTCACTAAGGGTCAACCTCAACTTGGTAGCACACAATCAATCAATCAATCTTATGGAAAGCAAAGAAAAGGAATGGAAGAAAAGAATTGGAGGAGTAGATGGAAAAAAATATTAAGACCAAAAATCTAAATATATTCAGAGCAGGAAAGTTTTATGATGTTCTCTTGGCTGCTATTGGGATTTTGTCAAGCAGGGCTAAAATTTAAAATACAAAAAGTCGGGTTTAGAATTTAATGAAAGAATCTCCTTTTATCTCCGAAATAGGAAGCCTTTTCCAGTTACGGGTGAACCACAACTCTCTTTACCCCTATCTGTTGGCCATGCTGACAGTGGCTTTTGGGAGTTGTAATTCAACAACACAGTTTCTCACACTCATCCGAGTAGGGTACCAGCTATTATATCAAAAAAAGTCACAAAGAAGAGAGCAAGTTGTAAGTAATAACTGTATCTCCATATCTGGACTTTGTAAATGTGTATGGCCACTAGAGAGCAGCACAGATGGGGGAGGTTCTGCCTATCCTCGCCTCCCCCTAGAGGTCTTCAAGAGTTTTGCAGTTCAGCTGTACTAGTCTTAGTTAAACAGTCCAAGAGATTTGAGGTAAAAGAGAAAATACATCATCCGCATGTATAATTTGGTTAAGATACAGTACTCTATTGTAGGCTTTTCCCCTTATCCTCCAAGAAGTCAACAGCTTCTTTTATTTTTATCTTTTTTTTTAATTTTCTTTCACAAAAGTTTAAGTATTTTCTATACAAGTAAAGCTATAGAAAATCTTGTGCCGCCCTTCAATTAAAAATGTGTAAAACCACCTGGGTTCAGAAAGAAATTCATCACAGGCTACATCCAAATCATAGGACACCAGCTGGCTATTCCTAGTTAAAAATGTTTCTGAACAAAATATAACATCAACCAACAAAGAGCGGTGGGAAAATCTTTGATTTTTCTCCCTCCCTCTTCTTTGTACTGGATTTATGATTAAATAGACTCCACTTTTATGTAAGCACAGTCGAAAGATATGTCGAAGATGCGCAGTTTGCATCCTTTATGGATTCATTTGAATTCCATATATTAGACTAAAAAAGCACCTGCATTTTAAAAACAGCTTTACAAGGAATGCTCAATAGCAATTGAAAATACTGTTAGCACAGGTGTTGGCTGAATATCTTTGATCTTTAAGGCTCTGCTTTCTTTAAAAAGCATTAGTGAGAATGAATGTCTGCTTAAGCCAAAGAGAAAGTATTTTTTCTAAAGCAGACAGGAAGAAAAATAGCTCTTGCTTGCATCCCAGATACTTTCTGAGGCAGATCAGCCTCCAAATGACAAGTGAAGGAAAGTGAGCTTATGGCCTGAAATAAAAGGACTTGAATTCAGCAGCCCAGGCCTTGCAATTCATAACTGTAATTCATTATTCATTGAGGTTCTGTGAGCAGATACTCAAATGTACCCTAGTGAATTGCTTCCCCAGCATAAATCTGAAATAGGTCATTTACTTTAGGTTGATATCATTTCAGCTTCATAACCTCTTTTCTTACCTAAACCTTATATGGAAGTGGGGAGGAAATTCATGAATTCTAGTCAACTGGACACAAACTAGGTTTCCTTGATGCGAAAGAACCACGGTAATCCAATAATCCAGGCTAAGAGTGGAATCCCAGAAAGACTAGGACTTTTATTTCTTATTTATTGATTGGCCTACTTCAGGTTAGCCACAATCTGGGTTATTTGAGTTATTTTGTGGATAACATGCATGAACATTTGCAATTTTGGTTTCTTCGCAAGAAAGGAACCCTTGTAGTCCAGACATCCAGCCCAAGCTTAGCATTACAGGAAGCCTATGAGTTTCACGTGTCTTTGATACTTGAGGCATTAGCTAGCCTCAGTTCCCAGTGATTTCTACTTCAAGTTAACCATGGTCTGGATCAGTGGTTCTCAACCTTTTTAATGCCGTGACCTCCAACCGGTCGTAAGTCAAGGACTACTCAACCGGTCGTAAGTCGAGGACTACTCAACCGGTGCAGCACCGTTTGCAGAATGGGACTTTTGGCGGGCTCAGCAGGGCAGAGACAGCCTGGACAATTCCTATTGGCTTTTGAAAGCCAATAGAATTAGACTCTATTCAAGAGAGTCTATTCTATTGGCTTTCAAAAGCCAATAGAATAAAAGGGAGTAGCACAGCTAAGGAAAAGGGGGGAAAATGGCAGACTGCGTTGTTTGGCGACCCCATGAAATGGTTGTTCGACCCCAAATGGGGTCGCAAGCTACAGATTGAGAACCGCTGCTCTGGATTATTAAAGTTACTGTGTGTGTAACTTTCATGGGTCAAAGAAAGTAGCCACAGCCCTGCAATCAAAGCCCACATGTAATAAAATCATTCTAATTTTTTGGTCACTTCCTGAAGTTCTCTCAAGGACTCCTTTGAACTGTTTGCTGAGAGTTCTAAGCTGCCTTTCACAACAGTATCAGATCACATTAAAACAAAGATCAAAGATTTTCAGTGATAAATCAGAAAAAAAAAGCAACGTGATCCAGTGCGTTTCTTACAACACAGGCAGGAATTTTGGACCAAATAGTAGAAAAAAAAGCACTTTGGAAGTCCACCACTTTATTATTCTCTCTGACCAAAGAGAGAAGCAACCTAGAACTAAGGAGAAACTTCCTGACAATTAGAACAATTAACCAGTGGAACAACCTACCTCCAGAAGCGGTGAATGCTCCAACACTGGAAGTTTTTAGGAAGAGATTGGACAACCAATCTCCTGCCTGAGCAGGGGGTTGGACTAGGGGACCTCCAAGGTCCCTCCCAACTTTATTGTTGTTGTTGGTAGTGGTGGTGGTGTTATTGTTGTTGTCAGTGAGAACCAGTGTCAGCTGCTGAACATTTG